GTCTTTTGATGTAGTTTGTTTTGTCTTACTTTCCTAGTTTTGGATTTTCATTGTCCTTGTTATGTATAACCAATTTAATTCTTTTTGAGCAATTTTACATGTTTCAATAAACTGGTATTTAAGGGTTATATTTAGCCAGTTGTTATAGAACAATACCCCAGCAAGTACCAGGATGTACGACCTTTGGGGGGGTCAAACATATTATTTACCTTATTCCCAATGACCCACGACATGTACTGTAAAAAGCACTGTATTTTCAATTGGAATTTATTATCACCATTTTCACTGAAGGGGTGGATCAGAAAAATGGGAATGCAGTGAAAATACCTTTCTGTTCATTGTTTTACATTCAACTTATCAAATATCAGTCAAAATAAACTTCAACCAAAATGCCTTTCCAGCAAAAGTTAATTCCTGCTAAAATAAAGTATTTTACAGTATTTTAAGTACCTTGGCATTGAGCCAAATCTGGTTTTACAGGTTGGCATGTGACCTCTAATTATCATACCTTGACTTGGACTGACTCTACCGGTGGCTTGTGAGGAATTCTGTTTCCTTTTTAGTGTGTCTTTGTAACATTTTGAGCACATTCCTTCCGTTGCAGGGCAACCATAAAATCCACAACCGTTCCTACACAGCATAGGCTGACTAGACTGCTGCTCCTGTCGTTCCATTGACTTATAAAATAATAAACAGCAAAACCCTGAAATACCAAAACAACAACATTAATTAACGAAAGGGAATAAAATTATACACTTGGTTTTAATTTTGCTTATTTCGCTGACTGGAAAATGCATTAAATTAAAACCCAGTGAATATGTAAAATTTAGCATAGAACACATTACCTAAATGATAAAATCGTGAATTTAAAAACCCACTGAATATGCCTGAAATGGGAAAATCAACGAAAATTTAAACGCAGTGAAAATTAGTAATTTTACAGTACCATATTTTCTCCATTGGAAACGCATACTGTAAAACACTTATTTCCACTGGCACTTAATTCACTATTTCTATGCTTTCAACAATTTCACTGGGCTTTATGTGCACAGACTTGGCAGGAAAACAATAACTTCTATTGTTATTTTATTACATGTTCATGTAAGATTTAATTTAGCGGATTTTATTTATGAGCGAAAATTGTGAAATTAAAAACCAGCAAATAATTAATGCTCTTACAGTATCCAATAGAAGTGAAAATAAACCAAAAATTGTATTTGTTGTACTGAGCAAAGTGAATCATTGTAAAATACTTTATTTTAGCTGGAATTAATTTTTGCTGAAAAACTTTTCGGGCGTTTTGTATGAATTTATTTTCACTGATTTTTGACGAGTTGAATGTAAAATATAGGAAAAAAGGTATATTCGCTGGATTTTATTTTCACTGAATCATTCCTTTAGCTAAAAACAAAGTTTTTTACAGTACTCTTGAAGCAATAACAATTTTGTCAAGTCAATGTTTTTTGTGTAAGGAGTAGGTCAATCATTAATTTCCGTTTAGAATAATTATGTACATTGTGATCTTCATCATGGTTTAAATTTCTGGGGAGAACACTGTTACATGTAGCTTTGAAAAACTGCAGAGGAATTGGTCAGTCTTGTGCATGGCCCTCTAACATTTTGCATTTTTTGAAGTTTTTTCTAAAAATATTTGGACAATTTTCAATAAAATGAAATATCATGTGGACTATTCTGAGATTTGTTGGCTTACCTTTTTTTCAATAAGTCGCAAGGTACTGTGGAATAGTTTATTTTCGCTGGAATTAATTTTTGCTGAAAAACTTTTTGGGACGTTTTGTATGAATTTATTTTCACTGATTTTTGACGAATTGAATGTAAAATATAGGGAAAGAGGTATATTCGCCGGATTTTATTTTCACTGAATCACTCCTTTAGCAAAAATAGCGAAAATAAATTCCAAACAGAAATAAAATATTTTACAGTATTTTGACCATAGAAACACCTCCGTCAATTATGTAATGTGCTACTAATAGAACTAAGACGGTATTGCAAAAATAATGAGTTACATAAACATCTGGGCATTGTTCCCCCTAAGCAAATTCAGCACTGAGAAACTTCAAATTTCAAAACACACCTTGAATGAGGTCTATTTGAATAGAAAATCAAAAGAAACATTTCAATAAGAAACCCAGGCTCCTGACTAAGAAAATTTTGCGTGAGCAAGGCCTTAGAGAGAACACTAGATTTGCATACAGTTCAATAAAATGAAATATCATGTGAAAGCAGGGTTGCCACGAAAGCCAGGTATAGTGGGAAACAAATGAAACGCTATTTTATTGAAAAAAAAAACAGAGGTTATATGCAAAACTAAGATAATTTTTCACAGGTAAACATGTGTACACAAGCAGCATTATTTGTATCAATGCACATCTGTAAGTCTTAAATAATTAAATCTATAATAATTCCCCAAATATCCTTTCTCAGGACATGAATTTCATAGTTGAGAGGACACTTGTTTCCGAGGCTAAATTTGATCAAATTAGGTTAATATAAAAATAATATACATCGTGAGCATGTGGCGAATATGTATGCAAAAATCTTCAAGTAGTGTTCTGATGTAACAGACTTAGCATCAAGAATTGTTGAGATTTCAACTCAAATACCACTTTGAATCATGTGCATCTCCAAACAGATGACGATGAACAAGTCATTGACACAGTCCCTATCGTGCAATATTAAACGAGACTGAGCCTAGTCAGCCATTTTGAATCTTTAGTTGACTGATGTATGTGTAAAGTTCAATTTGAATTAGTTCCAAAATGGCAAAAAAAGCTCGATTCTTAGGTATTTTTTAGATTTAACCTTTTCATCACCAATTTCCAATTCATCACAAATTCACAATATAGTTCTGTTTATAGTCTGCACTTTCCTCCAGAATATTGAGACAAAAATGGACAATTTTTTTTTAGTATAAACTGAAAATTTACTCTGTTGACTTCAAAATTAGGGTTCATTTTTCAGAAATATTTAAGAATATACAAGAAAAAGTGCAGAAAAATTTGTGCAAGTAAGTCTGGTGGTGAAAAGGTTGAAATAAAAGACCATTTTTATTTTTCAATTGGCTAGATTAAAATTTGAAGAGAAAAAAACAGGAAATAAATATGCAAGTTTACTTTTCTAAAGATAATAAACACTGGCTGTAAGTTCAAAGGGTTACAGGCGGCTAAGTAAATAATGGTTAATTTATACAGAATCAAAATACTTCACCACTTAGCTACATTCATAACAACATCAGCAAGCAGCTGCATTCATACTCAACATGCAGGTTTAGATGACATTAGTTTAGAACCTGGTTGACTAATTTGGTTTGTAGTTTATAAACTGTATTCACACTCAACATGCAGGTTTAGATGACATTCAGGGATCTGCCCACGCTGGTCGGCGCCGGTCGCTAGCGACCGGCACTCTGAATTTCCGACCAGGACAAAAAGTTGGCGACCAGCACTATTCTATTTGTTTATGATACACACAGGATGTCGGCCACTGGACCATCATTCTATTGTCCTTGTTGGTTTTAACACACAACACAATGCAAAAAATTAACACACAACAAAACTTGAAAGAAGATACTGCTGTTCAAAATCAACGTACACGTGTGACATCAGCCTAATGTGTTTTTGTTTTAACCTCCGATTGACATTCTGTTAGTTTTAACAAACGAACCAGATCGGAATAAGTCGTACATCAAGATAATGGAAGGGGAGACAATGATAAATAAACAGAAGGAAGGATTACCATTGCAAGTTTAGTTGCGTGCCGAGTTTAATAACTTGCTCACTTCACCGGCAGCGATGCATCAAGCTGTCGTTCGTTTAATCATTAAATCATTAAATTCATAAGCTATATTCAGTCAGCGATACAAGGAATACTAATTTCTCACTATTAATGTGATTTACCAGCGTTCCATCGGGAAAGAAAACAATTAAATTCTTGTTGCCACTTTGGCCGTAACAAACGGACGACACGCTTTGAAAAAAAAATGGCTGCCAGGTCAGAGGTCAATGTCTAAAAATACGTATTTTAGACGCGATTTCAAAAATAAAGTATATATATTTTTTCACTTTTATTAAAGCAGATTAATTTTACATTGAAATATTTGAAATAAATAAAAGTTAAAATAATTAAAATAGTTAATTCGTAGCTAGTAGAATGGAAAATGAATATTAATTAGCTCATGAATATTAATGAGCTCATGAATATTAATTAGCGACCTGCACTCAAATCAAGCTGGGCAGAACCCTGGACATTAGTTTAGAACCTGGTTGACTAATATGGTTTGTAGTTTATAAACTGTATTCACACTCAACATGCAGGTTTAGATGACATTAGTTTAAAACCTGGTTGACTAATATGGTTTGTAATTTTATAAACTGCATTCACACTCAACATGAAGCATTAGATGACATTAGTTTAAAACCTGGTTGACTAATATGGTTTGTAATTTTATAAACTGCATTCACACTCAACATAAAGCATTAGATGACATTAGTTTAAAACCTGGTTGACTAATATGGTTTGTAATTTTATAAACTGTATTCACACTCAACATGAAACATTAGATGACATTAGTTTAAAACCTGGTTGACTAATATGGTTTGTACTTTATAAACTGTATTCACACTCAACATGAAGCATTAGATGACATTAGTTTAGAACCTGGTTGACTAATGTGGTTTGTAATTTTATAAACTGCATTTACACTCAACATGCAGGTTTAGATGACATTAGTTTAGAACTTAGATGACTAATATGGTTTGTAATTTATAAACTGCATTCAAACTCAACATGAAGCATTAGATGACATTAGTTTAGAACCTAGTTGACTAATACGGTTAGTAATTTATAAACTATAATCACACTCAACATGAACCATTTGATGACATTAGTTGAGAACCTGGTTGACTAATATGGTTCGTAAATTCGAAACATTTTCGCGTGCTATAGTATTATTTTCGCTACTCTCCAAAACTGCTCCGGCAAAATACAACAGCAAGACTAGTATTTGGAAACCATGATTTGCATATTCATCGCCATGACTACACATGAAAGCGAAGGACAGATCAGTGCTATTCTTAGAATAAGGGTGCTTATTGTCTGCTTCTAGCAGTAGATTGAATGGCCCCCTTATAAATGAAGGAAGACAGACTGATTGGTCTATTTATAAGCTATTGAATACTACATGCAGGAATATTTCACAGCGATTATCTTATGGTAACCAACTAGCCCCCCAAAACGCTGGGGTTTTATCATAAACAGTAACAAGAACGAACTCGTAAAATTTCTGAATCAGTGTAAGCCGGTATAATATCAACAGTTAAATTGTCACTGCAAGAATATTTACTGCAATATTTTAACTTGAGAACAATCGCAAAAAAATTGTTTCACTGCAAGAACCTGTCTTAACCCTTTGAGAGCCAAAGTCAACTTTTACCACCATTGACCAAATAAAACCCAATTATCATTTTATATATTTGTTCCAAAATCTTGATCAAGACTTGTATCCAATTTGGTCCAAAATTGTCCAAATATTTTTAGAAAAAACATCAAAAAATGCAAAATGTTAGAGGGTCATGCACAAGACTGACCAATTCCTCTGCAGTTTTTCAAAGCTATATGTAACAGTGTTCTCCCCAGAAATTTAAACCATGATGAAGATCGCAATGAACATACTAATTTGCATAA